ATTTTTATTAATCATGTCAAAAATTCAAGGTAGCGTATATATATATTTATAAATAATTATACTTAAAACTGCTACCCTTTGTATTTAAGTACTTGATACAGATGGACACTGTATGTCGCGGTTATTTTTCTCTTTAGTTTTTATTATTATACAGGGTCCTGACTTATGATAGGTACATCTTTATTCGATAATAACGTGTTAGGTAGGTGACTATATAATTTACCCTTCGTGTTATTTTTACTATCGTACCAACACTACCAATACATCTTTTTTTATGTATTAAACGAAATGTTCTTGCATGGTGTGCATGCAACAATTATTGATTCAATAGTTTAACATAGTTTGTCTATAATTCGTAATAATATTTTAAAATACAATTGTGAACAATTTAAAATCTATTTGACAATCATGATCACGATTTTATTGTGTATATCTACCCAAACCCCGATATTCTAACATTTTACATTTTTGAAATAATATTCAGTGCCTTAATATATTGCTTCAAATATTTAAATTGTATATATAATTATACCTGTGTATACAGAGTGATTCACTAAACATGCTCAATACTTTTATAATTAGATAATGGCATTTCTATTACCCCGTCACTATTATTAATATGTTATACTATATTATAGTGAGCGTGTTTAGCAAACCACATTGTGTAAATGTATTACACGTATAATGTACATCGTTAATTTTTATTAATTCATTACATTCGATTAGTATTCTAAATTAAGATTAAGATAAATTTTGCCAATTACTTCATAGGTAATTACTATAATGAACATAACATTTTTAGATTTAATTAAAATATTTTTATTTATTTTTGACAATCGAATTAATAGGACGTACTACTAGGTGCTTTTATATCGGCCGTGTGTATCTAATAATTATTTACACGGAAATTGATTAGTTTCGGTAAATAAGTTTATATAATTGTGTCTGACAATCCACTTTTAAAACTTCAAACATAATCATGCATTTTCATTATATAATACGTCGATATTTATATTTTTTAATTTATCTTATTTTAAACAGATGTTATATCTTATGCATACGAAGCAATACGTTTTAAAATTATTATTACTATTATTGTTCATATTATAATATTATACAGGTACATATATAAGTATAAAAATATCTATATTTTATAACAATCGCAACGATGGACTAAATAGAAAACTAAAAAAAAATATATTTATACATTGCATACAAATAATGATCGAGTCTTTTTAACATTTGTGAAAATGTAAAAAAATTGTTTTGCTATATTCTTTAATTTCGAATTTAATTATTGGGATTCATCGGGTTAGTATGAAGTCAAAACTTTTTAGTGCTTACAACTCGATGTCCTTATCTAATTTGTATAAAAATCTCAATTACCTGTAGCGGTCCACCGTTGCCCAATTGTTTTTTCTAGCAATAATATTAATTATTTATTAATAATACATATTCTAAATATAGATTTTATCTTGTTTTTTTATACAAATTATATGTTAATTCTATATCGATTACAGATTATTATATATATATATTATTATATTATAATACATATTTATATAGTTGAGTAGAATCTTACATAATAATGATAGCATAATTTAGAAATATTTAATAAAGTTATTTGAATGTATATATTATATTGTTATTTAAAACATAGCTATACAGACATTTACCGTCATTCGTATATACTTAATGCTCAATAATCAGAATTTAATTTTAGATGAATTCGAATTTAGATATTATTTTAATGGCGACAAAATATTAGGTTTAGTTTATTTTCGTGTACATAAAAATACAATATATTATAATTATTCGGTAAAAACAAAATAACTGTATTAACAAATAGAATATACAAATCATTTATGACAACATATAAAATATAATATTGTCTTGTAAAGCTTATTTGTTTTTTTCGTGTTTATGCCAAGTGATTTGTAAAAGATGAAACGTAAAAATCAGATTTGAAACTAAATAGTGATTTAGAAATAATATCACAAAACCGTATTAAAACAAAATAAGTGTTTACGTGTAAGAACTGACTATTTTGAATGACAAGTTGTTTTCGTACATGAAAAATTTCATCCACGTAGCAAAGAAACAGAATTTTTTTTCATTATAATTATAGTTTATAAGTAAATCTTATTTATTTAGATATGTGTATATATATATATATTTATATACACACATACACACACGTAATAGATACATTATAACGTTATTTTTCTTCAATTTTCACTATTCATTTTTCCAGTCCACCCAATAATACAATAATTAATTATTATCGTTTTAGTATGTATATTTAATTAAATACCTACAATTAACCATTATTTTGTTTTACCTTTACAGATACCTGCATAATATACAACCATTTAGTATGTAAACGTACCTAGTTAAAATATAATGTCTATTTTATTTATTTATTATTATTATTATTATTATTTGATTTATTTATTGTTATGACACTTTTAGTGGGACCAAAATAATATGATATTCAGTACCTAAATCGTTAATTGTTACCCTATAGAAATAATAATTTTATCTTCTATTTTTTTTTCTTTTGTAATCTGGCGAAATAGATATATCTAGATACATTATAATATCAAAGTATTATGTGACAGTATGTTTATTTGTTTATGTATTATATTTAGAGATCTATTTTGACGCGGTACAATCTAAATATTATAATTCGTAGATATATGTGACATGCATTTCATCATATTATTTTTATTGTAATAAATTACAGTTGTTATTTTACAAATCTGTTACCTACTTATGCTTTAAAAAATACGATATTAAATTGTTTTTAGAATATCTTGATTCATTTTTATCATTTTTAATTATTTGTTTTTGTTTTGTTTTGTTTTTTTTTTTTTTTTTTTGTTTTTTGTATTATATTCATTTAAAACTTCATAAAACGAGAAACAAAAGACGTTGACTGAAGTACTAAATAGGTATTCGAATGTATAGCGCATTCATATTATGTAGAATACGAATTTGAACTTGTAATTGCTCTATGTGATTAAAATTCTAATAAATATATTGCAAAAGTTGTTACAAAAATGTATTTTTATTTTCATGTACACCAACATCACACAGAAGTAAATATTATTATTATAATAATATGTATATTGCGTATACGTTATGTCCGTCGTAAATGATATCCAGCCACATACAATAATGATTTTACCTCCAATTATCATTTGATCGTATTGATGTCTTGTGAAAATGACTGTAAGATCATTAAAACGTTTAAAATATTTCACTCTTTTATCTTAATTTGTACATTATTTTATTGATATGGATAGAATATATTATTATTTTATGAAACCTTTATGCGTTTAGAGCCATTTAGAGAGGAAAAACAGAAAGGAGAAGAGATGGATTGATAGAATAGACTGAAGACACATAAAGTAACATAAAAATAGCTTCCAATCACACGCGCGAGTGGTAAGACATCATAGCCTATATGGAGGTTTAGAACGAAGATGGCCGTACTCAAATACTACTTCGAAGTGTATGCAGGATAAAATATGAATAAGATTAATGATTGTTGTATGTATGACTTAAGTTAATATTATATAACCATATTATATATATTGGCGTGTCAAAGAAATTTAATATAAATTGTAAAGTTTCTTTTTCGTCTTCGAAGAAGCCAACTTGAAATAATAAAATTGTACAAAGTAGAAATAAACTTACTATAGGTACTTAGCTATTAAATACGTATGTTGTATGTATTATATAAATATGTGAACATATTAATCATTTGATTCTTATTAACGAAAACATTTTAGACGGTGCATTAAATAGGCAATCTAAGGGCATTGAAGTATAAAATTCAAATTTTACGTATCTTGTATGGGGTTGCAAAAATCTAGACCAATAGAATTAAATTAGGTACCAAATTTAAAATTGAAAATATTGTCTAGAGAATGATGTAGGCGTTTATTTTAAAGTGAGTTATTTATTTGATTTTATTCAGTCATCACTATTGACGTAAACTTGGCAGCGCAAAAGTTCAAATAAGTTTCTTGGCGAAAATAACGTCTACCAATTAATGTTTAAAATTATCCGACAAATCTAGAAAATCATTTTTAGCATTTTATTTTATTTTTATATATTTAAACGGGCTGAACGTGTACAGTCTGTATTTAAATTAAATACAGACTATAAATGAGTGTAAAATAGCAACAGCGTTTGCAAAAAAAAAAAAAAAAACAATTCATAAAAATTAATAATCATTTAAATATAAAATTTAAATCCATATTGCAGTTTGACGTCAAGCCTCAAGCGCTTTAATGGGTCATTTACTAAACAATTGGTGGTTGCAAATGGAACATGAAAAAAAGCAGTGGATCGTGTTAAGCGTTGAGATACCTTCAAACAAATTAGATACAAACGCACATAAATCAATGTTTCCGCTCAATAATCTTTCAACAAACTAATTCCTTGCAGTAAGTCTTCAGCTAAAGAAGATAGTCCAAGTATATTAAATAATCGTAGAATAATCATAACAAGGAAATTTTAGTAAGTGAATAATAAAATTTTACGTTTTTTCGCTCAAGCTGACTGGGGTTTCAGACATATTTCGGGTATTAGGTTGATAACGCCACAATATAACACATTAAAAAGCACATATAACTTATAGTCTTTGCCAACTTTGTAATAAAACTGAGTTTTGAATACATTCCAACATATTGTGAATTCATAATATTTATGCAGGCTAGTTGATTTTCAGAGAGAAAAAAATTCAAATAACAAAATACATTTATGTCTTTTGACAACAATAATACTTAAATTAAGGTTTATTGAAGCAAACAAATATAAAACAAAAAAGTAGGTAACAATCAGACTACATACACAAAGTAAACATTTAAGTCATATTTAAACCTTATTATGGTTTATAATAAATCATGTCATTATAATATATTGTATAACGAATGTATATAAATAAAAAAAATAATTAATAAGGAACTGTTATCCCACATAGGTCAAGGTTAAGTATTTGATTCATTTGGTCCTTGGCTACAAGTGTCTTGATTGGACTGTTGGTGAATAAACACAGGTCTCACACTATCAGAATTTAATATTCTAGCAAACATTTGTGATCGTCCTTTAAAAAGATTTTAATTTTAGCCAAATTTGTGCAGAGATGGTTTATTAATGCAAAAATACAAACCTTTAAGATTGTGTTGTGATAATGGTATAACTTTAAGCCCTTGAAAAGATTTCAAAGAACTTGCAGGTACAAGTATTTGTTGAGAACCTTGTTGCACCACAGTATAAGTGTTGGCGGCAGAACTAACTACTGGTGATGAGGTTGATATACCCGTAAGAGTCGATGAAATTTGTGCCTATGACAAAAAATAACATTTAATATTTGTATCAAGATAATGTTTCAATGTTTTCCAATATAACTCCTATCACGATATCTCATGGAAGATGATACATTAACATAATTAACTTAACGACCAAATGTTAGACAAGCAAAATTGACCTAACTTTTATTTTTAAAGAAGAATTGTGTCAACAATTGAAGGACTACACAAAAAAATAGTTTTCATCACTAAACTTCATACTTTTAAAATATAAACTTACTTTATTAGTGACTAATAAAGGTTTTCCACCAATTTGTGATTGAACCACACGTACAGTTTGTGGTTGATTGGTGTCACCAGATTTTAAACGATCATTTATAGTTGATATTCGTGCAGGTGTTTTCTGTAATAAAACAACATAATTTAAATATATAAAAAATACAGTTAAAGTTAATTTTTAATTAATAACCTGTCCAATATTTGGTTGATTTGATGGCATAAGTTTTGGTTGAGCAACAGTCACCACTGTATAGTGTGGCTGACCACTTTTTGAAGTTTGTACACCAGAAATTCGTAATGGAGTACCTAAATAATAAATAATAAATAGAAAATTAAAACAATAAATTAATAAATATTTTGAATAATCTAACCTGGAACACCAGATAATTTTCTATTTGCAAGAACTGAATCAACAGGTAATTGTGCTCTTTGATTAGACACAAACTTGCCAACAAGAGGCTTAGTAATTTTTCGCTGTACATTTTGAGTTGCTTGTTTTGCTTGTACTAACAAATTAGCAGTTTTTGTTGGGGTTTGTTGAGTTTTTGTACCACGGAGTGATGTCAATATTGGCTAGATTAAAAGATTTCAAAACAATTAATCTATTATACCATTCATTTATAAAATCATTCTATTCTCTGACGAAAAATTTCAAGGAACCAAACAAATTTATTCATATTTTGATACAACCAATATTGAAAAAAATTTACCCAAACTCTCATAAATTAATTTCAATTTTTTATAAATATTATTAAGAGAAAAATTGAAGCTAAACATGAAGAATAAGAAAAAAAGTAAAGTCGAAAATACACGTCATCATTTACATGTGTTGTAATAAAATAATCATTATTAATTTTAAATCAATAATAAATTATTAGACATAAAAATATAATACCCATAGAGAAATCAAGATTTTTTTTGATAACAAATGTGCTTGTTTAATATTTTTAAATTACTTTTATTTTGTACTAATAAAAAAAATTGAAATAAGGCCTCATAAAAATAATATTTGCATCTTACAACAAATCGATAGAACTAAAGAAAACCAAATATCAGTATAAACCCTTGTTCTACACAGGATCAAAAACTAAATTATATCTTCACTAATAAATTGTAGAAGATAATAATTATGTAATGTATGTTTTTTAAGATATAAATTTAAAATATAAAAATAAAAAACAAACCTTAAGTGCAATAGATTTCTGATCATTTCCTTGTTGTTTTACCATGACAACCTGAGCCTGTTGTCCTGTTTGTTGCTGTGGCCTCAACATCAATAACTGTTGTAATTGCTGCTGTGTTATCTGTTGTGTCTCTTGTTGTTGGACATTTCTTGGACCCTGTTTTAAGAATATAACTTGAGGCTGTTCGGCATCAACTGTTTCTGTTTTATCATCCCCATCAGTTTTTCTAATAATGACTTGCTGTTTATTTTGTTGCAAAGTTTGCTGCTGAATCTGTTTTTGTTGCATGAGCTTCAGATGCATATTTTGTTGTTGATTCATAAACTTCTGTTGATTTTGTAGATGAATATACTGTTGTAAAATTTGGGGTTTTAAAGTATCAGTTTGGCTAACAACAGTTGTGTTTTGTTCAGAACTAGAAATTGAATGATCAGATCGCTTTTGTTTTAAAACTAATATTTGTCGTTGGTGTTCTTTAATTTGAGGTGATTTGGTAATATTAAGATGATGATCATGTTGATAATTTGTAAGTCCTAGAATAAAAAGTAATCTTCCTGAATATGTACTTTTAAATGATAAATTACAAATATAATATACCAGAAGATTGTCCAATAGAAATTGGTTGAGCAATTTGTACATGTTTTGTTTTCTTTCTAGGACCAATTGTAATCAAATCTCCAGATGATATCATTGGTTTCTAAAAATAAAATTCAACTTAAAAATGACATTAAATAAAAAATAAAAATTACATACATTTGAAGATATATTGTTAACAACCATTTTATTGTTGTTGATAAATGTTTGATTATTGCTGTTCATAGTTTGGGAAATGTTGATCATCTGTCCACTATTGGATACAGCTTGACTGCTAACTACTTTTAAGCTGTTGCCAGCCTTTGTCTGACTTAAAATGTTACCAGCAATTGATTGGCTACTTATATTATTTATATTGTTAGCAATTGATTGACAGGTAAAGCTATTAGTAATTGACTGACTATTACTACTAATAATTGAATGGCTAGTAATGTTACTAGAAAATGATTGATTAGAAATATTATTAGAAGAAATAATTGAACTATTGCTAGCTGTAACAGTTGAAATATGACTTGAAACAGGCATGGAAAATATTTGGGAAGAGACAGTACTGTTTTGATCAATGAGTGTTGGACATTCTATATTTAGCTCAACTGCATTATCTGTCATTTGCATGGTTTGTATTGGTGGAACTTTTCGATTTTTAGTAACCCTAGGTGATTTTATTAATTGTTTTGAATGGTCTATGTTAGTCATTTCTTGAGTAACACGTATATCAGACAAAACAGGTGATGTGCTTGAACTTGGCATAGAATCTGAAGTCGAACTTGTAGGTAAATCTAACATCGATAAAGAATCTAAAAGAACATTTGATGTTGATTTTTTGTTTGGTGTACGTTTAGGTTCTGGTGGTTTTTTAGGAGTTTTATTTCTTCGCCAGCATTTCATTTTTACTGCTCCTTGTTGCTCCAAATGCAAACGTTCTAAAACATAATATAGATTTTTTTGATAAAAAATATTAAACATAATCAAACATAAAACCTTAATAAATTATCATCAACAATATTTTTCTTATTTTTTTAATTTAATAACTATATTTTATGAAAATAATAAGTACAATAAATACTTAATATTAGTTACATTATTTTAAAAAAACACCAATAAATTGATTTTATTATTTAAGCTTTATTTCTCTAAAAAAATTGATTGAATATGCTAAGAAACAACATGTTAATGATATTAATACTAAGAATATAATATATAATGTGTACATACCAAATTCTTCCAATTTTCGTCCTCTGTGTAAGTAAATCCATATTTTGCGTTTTGGATCATATTTAACACATGGATCATGTTCATAATGCAATCTATCCAAAGCTCCACTGACAGCATTATGTAATTCAGTTAGATTTGCTTCCATCAAGTATTGCGAATCTTTAAGTAAGGTACAAATATCACTACGAGTTCCCATTCCATTTGGTAATCTAGCTGTTGCATCACGTACTGAAATTGCATAATATAATGCATTATTTTATTTTATTTTATTTTTTTACAAAATCATAAATATTAATAATAATAATAGCCTACCTAATACCAATATTGATATGAAATGAGGTCTATTTTCAATCAACAAGGAATGACCACGAGCTGCTTTATGAATATTAGATGAATTATAAATACCGCGCACAGGACCCACAACTGACTCGTAACCATGCATTTGATAAACAAAAGAACGATGTGGTTTTAAAAATCGTTGCTTTTCCTAGTTTTTAATAAAAAATTTAAAGTAATCAAAACATTTTTATTTAATATTTATCATATATTTGAATTTACTTGAGCTTGGAAAATTGCACGTTCTTCATCATTAGAAGGAGTCACTATCCATGTTTCTAATAATGGTACAGATAAAGGAGCTGTTGAATCAGTTTCAGACATTTCAATTGATGAAATAATATCTGTTGTAGATGGTATTGGTACATTTTTAATTCCAATCACATCATCATTAATACTTTTCAATTTTGAACTAATATTATTCAAGTTATGTAACCAGCACTTGCATAAATCTCCAAGCCGAGTGTCTGAATCTCTACCAGCACCAATCCATTGATAAATATCTAAACTAGGTTTATATTCAATATAAGGAACAAAATCTTCAGGCTGCCATTCTAAAAAAAAAAATAGTATATTACATGATTTTTTTATAAAATTTGTATTAACAAATAACACCAATTTTACCAGGGAAATGTCCCGCTAAAAAACCTATAGCTGACTGTAATGATTTAGGCCAAGTTTTTAATGTTAAACTGTGGTACCAATCTGGATTTGTTCTGTTATTAAATGTTGAAATCACCCAATCATTAACTCGTTCATTTAGTGCAGTCATATCCATACGATAATCCCAGTTAGCACAGATTATATCCCTTATAAGTGCAAAGAAACTAGAAACCATTTTTCTTATTTGAGGTCTAAAAATGTATACATAAAAATAAATAAAATATTTTGTACATAATTTAGATATAATAAAATATATTTTAACATACGTTTTCAAATCTAAATCCTCATTACACATAGTTTTGATATCTAACACATGAAAACCCTCTAACTCTGATAATGATCCAACATAATTAGAATCTGTTATGACTTTACTAGGGGTAGAAACTGGTGATAATGATAACTGTTTAGAACCAAAATCACTAGGAGTTAGAGAGCGTAAACACGAATGTATCATTGTAGGTGGAGATCTAAATAATTCATAAAATATATAAAAGTTTCAATTATAATTCATGATAAAATTTTAATAATTAGTTACAAAAAAATAGTATCTAGGTTTCAGAAGGCATAGGAGCTATAGCAAAACATTTATGAAAAATATAGTCATTTTTAAAGTATATTAAATATGCAAATTATGTAATTTAAATTTTCTATTTATAAACTCACATTTGTATAATTTTGATTTTCAGCCTAGTCTATTATAAATCAAGTAAAAAATAATTTTTAACTCCTACAACTTCCAAACCTTAATGATAAAAAATAAAAATTATACTTACTCTGTATTTATGGTTTGCACTGTACTAGTTAACATGTCTTCTGGATGAAATTCTCTCTGAATATAGTTAGGTGGACTGAACTTAGAATCTGAAATATTTTCAGGTAGTTGTGGTGGTGATAGATCTGATGATGAAGGTGGTGGTGGTGATGAAGGTGGTGATGGTGGTGGTGATGGAAGTGGTGGTGATGGTATTAATGGTGGATTATACTTTTCTTCAACATCACTCATTTGTTCTAATAACATAGCTGCAGCAGCTTGGCCTTCTTCTGCTTTACGTATTTCTTCAGCTGTTAAGCTAATAGGTTCTAGTTTGATAGGATCATTTAAAGTAATTTCTTCTTCCATTTTTAAAAAATCTGTTAGAATAGGAGTACAAGGATCTAATTTAATTGCATTCAAATTAGTTTTGATTGATTCTTCTTCAGCCATATTAGATAAAGAAATTGATGATGGTGAAAGAAGTGGAGGTGAAACTACATTTTGGAGTATCTCTTCTTTAACGTAAGAATTACTACATGTTTCCGTTTGAGTCCTATCTTCTTGTTTTGATGAAATATTATGTGATTCATCTAACTGCACAGAAGGTTGCATATCTAACTGCGTAGTAGGTTGTACATCAACCTGCGCATGAGGTTCTACATCCAACTGCACTTGAGATTGTGCATCTATCTGCTTATGAGATTGTACATTTAAATGCACTTGAGGTTGTACATCTAACTGTACCTGAGGTTGTGCATCTAACTGTACTTGAGGTTGTGTACTTAATTTCACAGGAGATTGTACATCTAGCTGGGCAGGAAGGTTTACATCTGATGGCACAGGAATATTTACATCAAACTGTACAGGTGGTTGTACATCTAGCTGCAAAGGAAGTTTTGGTGCTGGAGTTGACTGGTTTTGGTGTTTGACAGGTTTTGTACGCTTCAACCGGAGTCTATCACTATTTGCTGATTTCTTTTTCTCCACCGTGCCTAATGACACTTCTGGTTTAATATGTTCTTTGATTTGTTCATATCTCATTCGTTTATTTTGCTAAAATAAACATACATACATTATTTGATTATTATTACATACATTGTATTAGAATAATATACCTGTTCCATTTTCTTTTTTTTTCTCTTGTGAGATATCAACATTTCTTTATACATATCATCAGAAGGCTCAAATGGATTACTTGTTGGCAAAGCAACTTTAGATAAATCTATTCTATCAGGAAAAGTTGCCAAGGTAGAAGTAATGATTTCTAGCTCCGGTGAAAGAGAACTTTGTATAGTACTTAAATTGCGTCGCTGTTTTTTACCCAAACGAGTAGGTGGTCCTTCTAAATTTTAAAAAAATTTAAAATTATTAAAATTATAATTATAAGCTAATAATCAAAAAGTATGAAAGCTTTTAACCTTGATAGTTGCTATCTGAACTATCTTCAGAGACATCCCCTACTAATTCTTTAATATCAGAAACCTCTTGGAAATATCTTCTTTTAACTTGCTGATGCATATTAAAACTATTATTATCTCCACTATTTGTCACAGATGTAGTAGAAGAACTAATTAAATCATTAATGACCTTTTTACGCCCAGAAATTAATTTTTTTAACATATTGTAATTGTATATACGTTGACTTTTTCTAGAATATTGATAAAAAAAAAAAAATCAGTTATTAAAATTAAAACTTAAGGAAAAAAGTTTGTTTTTATAATACTTACCTATACTCTCTCTTAAGAGATCGTCGTAAAAGTGATTTCATTTTGACGATATCAGGTCGAAAATGTCCATTTTTTAATTTATCATGAAATTCATTGATTGGATTAACGCCAAACCGAAAACTTTGTCCACCAAAAAGCATTCTTAAAGTAATTTCTTTTTCCATCAAATCATTTTCAGAAAATGTAGGAAGAAAATTCTATAGAACCATATTATATTATTTTATTTATAAATTATTATTTATTTAAGATAAAAAATATTTTGATTGATAAAAACTTGTATAAATTATTTACCTTTAAATGCTGCTTTTGTACATCACTAAGGCACACCCAAGAGTTAACAGAAAATAATTGTTTGAAAACTCCTTCATCCTCACACATACCAGTTGGTAAACTAAGCTCAGTTTTATTGGCTATCACAGTTTCTGTTTTGAGAGATTTAGTTTCATCTTCTTCAGCAGTGCTAGTGCTTTCCGAATCTGAACCTGACTGACTGCTACCACTACTACTTGTACCTGAAGAACTAGTACTAGATGTAGATGACTCACTATCATCATCGCTATCATCTTGCTCAATTTCAGGAGATGACAATTCATCTTCATCTGAATTTGATGTGGACTCTTGGGGCCAATGTTGATAGTCATTATAACTTGACATGGTGATGATTTTGAATCAAAAATGTTAGGTACTATAACAAATATAATTATAAAATCAAATATAGATACTAACATCAAAAAACTGAGCTATTTTATTTTAATGTCTAAATTATAATTTAAGTTATAATGGTTAATACAAACTTATTATCAAAAAAGTAGTTTATATGATTTTAATATGAAAATCAACTAATTTTTTTAATTTCTGGTATAAAGCATACCTACAAAATACAGGAATAAAAAACTTGACCAATTAGATATAATTTTAAATCATTGAAATAGCACGTAAAACTTATAAACATAGTACTTTATTTTTTTTAATTTTTATATTTATATAAATGCCAAAGTATTTAGTAAATGTTAGAAATAATGAGCAAATTTCAAGGTCATCAGTTTTAACAATAAACATCATAAGTACTGCATTTCTAAAACATTAATGTATTATCTACTATATAAATACAGCAAATCAATTTTGTAATAAAATATAGAGTTAATACTTGTTATTTATTAAAAATAAACAAATTATAGCTACTTGCATATCCAAATAGGTATTTATTAAACATAAAAATTATTTATAACTATTAAGTTATTATTTCCAAATATTTACTTTTTATCGCATTTTATTTTAATCTGTCAAGTTTGTTTTCTTTTTCATTTATACTAGAAATAATTTTTCATACTAGATAATTATAAAATATTATAACATCATAATTAAATGTCAAATGAAATAATATCAGATGTCAGACGTATTATGTTTTTACAAAAAAAAATAATATTTTAAATAAACAAAAGTATTTATTAGTATACATTTAATATTGAGAACCACTATTTCAAAATGTTTTTTTATGCCTAGTACCAAATAAAATTATAAAAATTAAGTTGAATTAAGTATTTAAAAATTATAAGGATATGATAATCCACTTAAATCAATACTGAGTGTATATAATTATTATTTTACATAAGCTTAGATCTAATTCTAATCAATTTAAGTTAATCTAGTAAACTTGTGTTTGATAAAACTGTCATTGGACAAATAGTACTGGAAAAATGTTCCGAATCACAGTATACCTGGTGCAGATATAGAAACATCATAATGAAGTTAACACAAAGTAATGCATAATGTAGCAAGCAACTTATTGTATAGGTAAGCGCAATTTAAAAGTTATGCTCACCAAAGTCTGATAAGCCTGCTATCCGAGTAAAACAAATTGGACTGGGTAGCGATACGATTTGTTTCACTTCTGTCAGCGGGCTGCAGACGGCCAAGGAATCACAATTATGAAGTTACTGGGCGAAGACAAGTGGCAACCGGTTCCGATTACAGTTCTTGTTGCCGCACGTTAGATAGAGACAAACGACGACGAACGGTCAGTAGGTACGACGGATTGAAGCCGTTGTCGTACCGTGTGCACACATTTCAGACATAACGTTACTATTGTTCGTGTCGTCCCGGCCGACATAATATTAATAATTAGTAAATAAATCGAAAAGGGTAGGTTAGGTTTAGTTATAGCATTGGATTCCCTCTCGGCGCGAACGTCACGAGAGGAGTCTGAGCTATTATAGGTATAGTAAATAGTAATATTAATTGTATTTTAGTGCTAAACTGCTAAGTATAATTGTTTACAATAATACAAATGTACAAACTATCGTCGTCGCGACACTGATAACGTCGCCCGCCAAACAGCTTGGAAGAACAAACCCTTTATTATCGCTTACGCCATGATACATGAACATTTATAAATAATACTATATATAATATTATAATATTATGTTCATCCGAGCAAGACGTGTTAACTTCCATAAAAACATAGGTAGGTATTACGATCGTAATAGGTAAATATATACTTATATTAATTTCTTTAAAAGATTAAAGAATCAATAAAGATAATTTAAATTTATTTATTCATATTTTATATTTTATAAAATGTATACACTTTTATTTAATCATTAATAAATAATAATAATTAAATAGTTGCTATAGATATCTAATAATAAATTTGAAAAAAAAACAATTTATTAAACCAGCTAATACATAATTATAAAAAACAAAACACTACATTTCATTGTATTAAAGCGGTTTCACGTTATAAACTCGATCAAAAAATAACCAACATACCGAAATTATTATTTTTAGAAATATATAAAACATAAAAAAAAAATGTTAACATAAATATAACTGCAATTAAAAAAAGACAGGCAAGTAAGTACGGCTTTCCTGTACATAAATATATAATAGGTTATGTAGGTCTTTTTTAAGGGTGTGTTAAATCTTAATTCAATGATTATGTAGTCATGTACTATACTACTATGCGTCATTGACCATTGTGTACAAAATACGATTCTGAGTAGAGACAATTTACCTGTCGACATTTATTTTACTTTTAATATTACAGTTGGTTGAATTAAATTTTTTTTTAAATATTACATTTATTATATTATTATTATTTAATCAGTATGTACAATAATATAATACCAAATTATATACCTATCAACTTATATAGGTACCTAATTAAAAATGTAATATCATATTACTGTAAATAGGTACCGTAAATTAATACAAATACTCATAAAAAAGCCGTTCAATTCAACATCCAAGAAGATAAATTTGGTATACAAGTTTATAAAAGGTAAGGTAACATAATAGATATGTATTTAACGATTTTAACGCGTACCATAATTTTCTTAATAAAAATATATATATAGGTATATAAAGAAAAGCTCTCGTACTCATCCCCTTACTAATAGTATTAAGTAATTATATATTTAAGTAATAAGTTAAGAACATCAGATCAAATACAATAATATGTCAATATGTTTATAATGTTTATATGCAAACATAATAATAATTTAAAATTATAACCCTTAATGTCTAAAATGTCTTATTCTTAAATTAACTGACGATTCACCATCGGACATAGTATAGTAAAATTTATAATGATTAATATATGTAAAAGTTTTAAGTAACCATATTTTTGATTGAGATATTATAAAATAATTGACATTGTTATTTATCGTTAAAATATGTAGTTTCGATCAAATTTTAATTTAAAATGCATTTGAATAAAATTGTGCTTATGTATTTTTAATAATTTTACATAGATAAAAGAACCATTTATGTGGAATCGTGTATTGAATATTCAAGAATTTTGACCGATTGAATATTTTTTATTGATATTTATAAAAAAAAAATCAAAAATTTCAATTGTCTTTAAGTAGGTAGCTCAAATGAGTCAAAATAGTTTCACAATTTTATCATGTACATAAAATACTGATATAAACATTTGATGGAAATTTTAAGTATCTATGGTTAAGTAAACTAACGTTGAATTACAACAAAAAACAAAAATCGTTTGGAAGAAATAGTTGCTAGCGTTATTAGGTACTTAACTACCTATTATGGATGAATGTCCGTTGTAAAAATTTAAAATTCATAAATAAATTCATTTGTTTTTCTGGTAGAGTTGTTTTTAATATAGGTTAAAAAATGTATAAAGACCTTGTATTACATTTTTAATTCTTAGGTATAAACAGAATATTTCTTATGAATTTTTAATTATGAACAAATTTATAATTTTCGAGATTTTTAATTAGGAATTAATACTAGATTTTCAAGAATTTTTACCCATTCATACATTTTTTTTCAACATTTATGTAGATATTTATTTATTTTCTTTATTTGCAATAAATTATCTTTACCCACGGGACACCAAAGACTAAAATAGTGTGTAGTATAAAATGCAAAGTGTGTAATGGGTTATGGCCTAACTGTTTTTTACAATTTTTTATTTTATTCTTGATTCATTTATCTATATATATTAATATATTTTAATATTTATATCGTGTAAAAATATCTTTTCTACCTAAAATACGAGTACTTATATGTTACATTGTTACGGGTCTAAGTCAAAATCGGGCAAACTTCAGAAATTCTCAAACAATACATAAATTGCCCAAAATTCATAATCCTAAACTATATAATATATATAAATAGATTAAAAATGTTCTATTATATATTATTCATACAATAAATTTGATTAATTAATAGTTTTAATACTTTAAGTGCAGGTACTTATGGTTTAAATATATTTTGATGGCTGAGGCCTTAGAGAAGGTGTAAAGACTAAAGAGTAAAGCCCACACCGGGGTAATGCAATATTTTATATAAAACATTATGTTAAGTATTTAATTATTAATTACATTATGATAATAAAAAATATATATTTACAAAATCTTTGATGTGAAAATTAATCCATTAATGATACTCATGATTAACTACCTATTTCTTTTTTACGTTATTTAATTATTCTTAAAAGGAGAAAGATCAAGTTGATCACGACTTGACCCTAACCTAACATTAAGTCGTCTGAATGATTTATCAGGATTGCAAGGCATACCTACTGCAAGTTTGCATATTTATTGGTCATTATTAGAAGTTAGATTTTGTGTAGGCTATTAGAAATAACGTAAGCTGGTACATTTTTTGATCGCTGAATTTTGAAACTTTGAATTTATTAAATTTGAGTTTTTAGCATTTATCTACAGCTGTATGCCTGTATATTACTTATTCAAACTGATTTAATGAGGAATTTATAAGTGAATAGGTAGGTAGCTAAGTATTAATGTTAATGTATTTGTTATAAATAATAAATGTTTTGGGTGGGTAATGGGTATGCGTTGACGAGAGTTTAAATTAAGTTTATGGTCTAGAGTTTTCTTATTTTTTTTGTTTATTTTCCCTGTTATAAAAAAATAAATACTGAGAATTTTTAATTTTGACCTCTTTAAACTACATACTTCTTAGATCCAATAGGTTACCCAAAATAAATCACCCTCAAAGTTGAAAATATAATATACAAGTATATTATTATAAAAGTATACACTATATGTATACAACTTTCAAGTACTCACGACTCACAAATAATATTTTTAAATCTTTGTTTATTTTAAATTTTGTCCAAATTAGAAAATTCAAATGATTATATAAAAAAAAAAAATTATTCCTATGTACCTTCATTTTTAAATAGCTTTAATTTTCATTTATAAGGAATCTTCATTACATTTTCTAACTTTTTAATCAAGCAATTTTTTTTTTTTGGTAAATATCAAAAAAAAAAAAAAATAATAATAATAATAATTAAATTTTATAAATAACTCAGACTCTTCAGAATATCAAATTATTATATATAAAAATCATGATACTAATATACAAATCTTATAGAACTTCAGGTGTCCGTGGAAGTTCATTTTAGAATTACACAGAAAATAGATTTATTTAAAAATTCCCACTTTTCCCCTTTTTTTATTTTTCCTAGTCATTAATAAATATATCAGGAATCTTTTATTAATGACTTTTCAAAATACTAGGTTTCTCAGATGAAAAGATATTGAAGTTTTTAATCTAAGCATCTTTTTTATCCCAAAATATGATTACAAATAGAAAAATAAAAAGTAAAAACACACATTATTTTAAAGTCAATATATTTATCTCTGTTCAAAATCTAAGCTGCATGACTGTCCATTAACCCAACTATATAATCATTAATCAAAGGTCATTAAACAACTATCTATCAACAATAATTTTCTTGAATTATGATTTACAACAAATTCATCAAACAAGTAAGTGCTCAATGCCTGATATCCCTAAAAATGATTTTAGATACAATACATATTTTTCAAACTATAATAGTTGTTTGATATAATTAGCGAGAAATCGGCAATGTAGCAATTAGCCTACAACATAGATACACCTTAAAAATACATGATTTGAGTAAATAAATTATGATAAAATTGTAATTTTCGTGTAGATTACGTAGTTATCATATTTTATTGTATATAAAAATGTCGTTTAAGGGTAAAAAAATAATATTATATATCAAACAAAACTAAATATTACATAATACGTATTTATTTTATTAACAATATTTAAAAAAAATGTAATTGAACAAGTATGCAATTAATTAATTAACACTGTATTTTGTCATATACATTAATTTCTGGAACTTAAAATAGTAGTTTGTTTGGTACATATTTTCCAAAACACCAAACACAACTTTGATTTTCTGTAATAAAATATAAAACCAAATGAATATTATAAATAAATTATATTTTAAGATAAAAACATATTATTACAATGTTTTATTGTACATATACAATTTTTGTTTTTATTACTTATTAGTTTATTTATTTTTTTATTTACTAAAAATAAACAGAATAGCTCATTCCTAAGAAAATTTAAATAGCTTTTTGCATACCAATACAACTATACAAGTATACATTGCAATTTTAATATAATAAAATTTAAAAGATAAAAGAAAGGTTGACATTTGTTATGCACGATATAGGAATAGTAGATTCATTCGCCATATAATTTGATGCCATGACGGGTAGTATAGTAAAAAATATAACTCAATACACACAAAATCACAAAAAGATGCTATTCTTCTGGAGGAAACAATCAGCAAAAAAGAAAATTAGGAATACAAAGAACATGACCAGCAGTTGAGCAGGAATAGATTAAACCTTCATTCAAAAATTATCATTATACCATGATATATCTAGTCAAAGATAATTTAATACATAGTCATATAAAATTCATTTTTTTCATGTAAAAAACTAGGGATATCTAAATTTGGAAATAACTTATATTAATAGATTGAGTGTTTAAAAATTAAAAAATGTCAAAAAGTATTTAATTTATGGTACAATTATTCAAAATAATATGTATTTTTAATTATGTTTTAATTTTTAAATATGATCTTGGTCAATTAAAATTTTCATAGATTTTATTATAACATCATCATGTAAATATAATATATTTTTTAAAAAGTAAAAAAAAAAAAATCAGAATTAATAATGCTTACCTGCACTAATATTAGCCATTGTAAAACACATTGAACATACTAAACTTGGCATACCGAGCGGTCCTAGAGTAACTGGGCATCTGAGTTCTTTGTGTTCTTGTTCACAAACAAACATTCTGAAATCTGTAAACGATAACAAAATTCGTTCACATGTGTTGCAAAAGTATGTATGCTTAGCATCCTTATAAGAATCAATCAAATTAGCAGCATCTGCATTAACTTGAACATATTCTACTGGTAGTTTATTCATATAAAATGATAGCATTGTACGACAATAATATTGGTCTTCATTTTTAAATTTTTTTTTCTTATTAGAAAAATAATTTATCAAATGACGCATATGAAGTAACATTTGTAACTCTTGTAAAATATTTTCATCTTGTTCATTTTTCTTAATTTTGAAGGCTACATTCCAATAAGTAAGTTTAAGATTTTGGATGGATAATTTGTCTAATGAATTCCTATCCAACTGGCATACTTTATTTGATTTATCGAGCATTCTATTAATCCTGTAAACACCAACCAAACATAAGATAAATAATATTAATAGGTAAAAGTTTTAATAATTTTATATTTTCAGCTTAGTACCTTAAAGCCTCAATACAATCAATAACATTATCATAATCATAATCATTTACTGATAAAATTTTTGTTTCAAGTTCCACTAAACTTTCAGGAATTGTACAGAATAGTAATTTATTTTTAACGTGGCCATCATTTTTACTATACTTGGCTATGTTGCATCTAAAATATGGCATAACTTATTATTTGATAAAATTAAATATTTCTATTATAAAATTGTTTAAACTTACTGAAATGCGAGAACACAAATACACTCATTTCTTGAAAATACTACTGATGTACAAGTATAGTTTTGTACTTGTTCACTAAAATTGTTATTTACTATTTTTAAAGTATAAGTTACTTCTGATTTTATAGTAGAAAAATACATACAAATAAATTTACCAACATCTGTCACTAATATTAACAAATTTTTTTCTAATACAATTGTAAAACCTAAACATATAAACATTATTTACTTAGCTATAATAAATGTAATTGTACGAGTATTCCACTTTAAAAACATTTTAAAGTCAAGTTCAATTACTAGTCTCAATTTCACTTTTTTTAAATTTGTAACACGATTGACTGCTTTATTGGAATCATAAATTTTAAAAATTATAAACATCTTGAGATCCCTATGTTGCTGATGTAAATATAATTTAATGAAGATTAAAACTTATTTTCATGAAAATAGATATTTTTTTAAATATTTTCTAAATTTTAAGTTTTTGGATAATTTAAAATAATTAAAAATTAACAAGTATTCAAACAATTTTGAGTACTTGCTTTTGAACTTGCCACAATAAATTAATGCTTATTCAACATATTTCTATAAAATAATACTCGCACAACTCATAATCAGTAAAATTAAATTAATAACAAGAAAATTAATTTACCAGGTATAATTGCAGTCTTTGGGATCATTTCTTTTTTTGTTGATAAAATTTGTTTTTTAGTTAATGAATACAACATAACCAATATAAATGACATTTTTGTAAAAAATATAAGACATTGGTCATCTGAAATACTTTCTATTCGAATGTTATTCACACAGGCAAAGTCTTCATCCGGCCACAATAAAAATGTATTATTTACATTAGGATAGTTTAATATTTCATGAACATAAACTTGGCCATTTGTCAAAGAAACTACTAACCAAACTGATAAAAAAAATTCTAATTAAAAAATATTTTCACATATTTACATACGAAATGTATCATATTTACATACATAATTCATTTGATATACAAAACCATTTAATATGTTTTATAGAAACACTATGAAATTCAAACTCTGTCAAAAAAAGTGATTTCCCTGATGAAGTTGACCAAAATGTCAACATATTATTTAAATGACAACATATTGTTCCATAAACTTCTATTTCATTTTCATATTTCAAGGTATGAGTAAAAACAAAATCTGAAATTTAAATAAAATATAAAGTAAAAAAAAAAAAAAAGAATAAAAAATTTCAAATATAATGTGTGACAATGACATTAAAAAAAAAAAATCTAATATCATCAAATATAATAAATATTGTGCAATATGTATGTTTTATAATTTATATCAAAAAATTAATAAAAATCATTTTTATATTATACATCATAATATAACCTAATATAAATTTAGTATTAATATACAATTTGTAGTTGCAATAAGATCTTACTTTTAATTTGTAAAAACTTTTCTTTTTCACGGCAATAATAAAGAATTCGATTTTCAGTTTTAAAAAAACTAAGATTTTTTTTGTCAACTAAGAAACAAGGTTTCTTAGACACTATTAAAAACCATTTTTGTGGTATTTCACTTAATTTTTCTACCCATTTATTATTATTTTTTTCTAAAAACACTATATTGCTATTGTTTCCCATATAAATGACATTCCAACTGAAATCAAATAATATAATTAATAGATGTAGGTAAAAATGTATCAATATTAATTAAATCTGTCAATATTTCTATATAATCAATTTAATTATTTCAACCACCTATATCATAATACATAATACTAAATAAATATTGATATTAATTTGTTTTAAACAACAAATAAAATTTAATCTCATACTTGTATAACTTAGAACAAACTTTTTAATACTCCCAATACAAATAATGATTTTTAATAGATATTTTTACTGATTACTAATACTACTTACTTTTTAAATAAAATTATCTTAATTTAATTTAGATTATGAAAAAATAATAATTATGCATTGTTTGCAGCTTTACATGTTTTGTATTATATAAGATACACTTCATTTATTTCTTCAAATAATATTACTTTAAGTAAAAATTAAATTTTATCTTTAAGTATTTTCTAAACCACTGAAAAATCATAAATGCAAAAATATATTCATATACATCTAAAAATTAGTATAAAAATAAATAAGAATATAAATCCTTTGAAACAGGGGTTACATTTTGAGTGAAAAAAAGTTTTATAGAAGTTAAGAATAAAAATAAAATCTAATGAGCATTATAATCCCATGTTTATGGGATTATCTGATAATATTATTATTGTTAATTTTTTCTATATAAAATTTAATATTACTATAAAATGTATTAATCATAAAAATAAAACCTACGTTATTTTTTATATTCTGTTAATATCTATTTAATACTCTTTTATATCAATACTTTTCAATAAATTCTTTAATTTAACTATGTAAAACTTTAATAAATCAATCCAAGCCATCTTTCTTTCCTTATTTACTTTAATACAACTTTGACAATGCATTAAAAAAATTGGAAACAAACTAACCCTTATACCTACTTACTTTTTACTATTAGGATATACTGCTAAATTGTGTTCTTGACACACCACTGGTCTTTGGTAACGTATTTCTTTGAAATTTTTATCTTCAAATGGTTTTTCCTTTGAGAATGGGATTGACGTCCTAAATACTTTGTAGTCTGCAGATGGTCTGAACAGATCCGACTGGATGTCCTACGTAAAAAAAAATCTTAAACCAGACTGGTCGATATCGAAGTTATACTATATATTATACTATTTACAAATCTCCAATATACATACAACGATCAACAGACCATCGTCCGTCGAGAAGACAAACGAATTGTCGAGGGATACGCAAGAGATGAACTTGCTCGTGTACTCGAACTCCTGTACCAAATTGATGGTCATCTTCTTTTCCAAAACAAATATTCTTTCCGTTATATTTAATTTTAATTTTGTAGAATGTAAAATATAAATTGTTATCACTTTTTTATTTTAAAGCGCTATCTTAAATATAATATTTGAAATTGAAATTAATCTTATCACAGATTTTCCGGCGCGGCAGCGTTGCCAGTTTACATTTTATTTTGTTTTAGTCTGCACTCGGCGGCGTTGCCTGTCAGGCGTCAGTCATATCATTTAGGTATCAGATCAGGCATTTAACTTTTAAGTGATCACGATCTCATGAGATTACATGGCCCACGAATTACCAGTTGGCTAAATCACTTTCAAGTTCCAACTTACCAATCTGCTGGTGTCTGGCGTGTCTGCCCTACCACTTGAGATTGGACTTCTTACTTTCATAGTACTGAGTCCCATTGATTAATGATCATAGGCAGAAGTTGAGTTTTAAATTTGGGGGGGCTATTTTTTTTAAAAAAATCGTGGGGGACTATTTAGTTATATCACCCACACCGCCTTGATTAAATTTTTTAAATAAATCAATATATTTTTAAACATGTATTTTATTAAACGATTAATAAAAATTAAATAATTTTAAGTCTGAAATTATAACAACAATAATTATGTCATTTACCGTCTTGTCCAGTAGTCGTCCTGCCGATTTGTTACAAAAATACAGAATACTTTATTATCTATTAATATATTATATTTTTAGAATCCCAATTCTAATTTATATTTTGTGAGTAGTTGACATCATAAATTAGAGTAAACGTCATTTACGAATCTTCATAGACTCATTTAAAAACCCTTAATATCTCAAAAAGTATAAAATACATTATGAATAAAAAATAGATTAAAATCTCAAAAATATTAATATAATATGCACAGTACGTAATTTTTTATAATAGTAGCTCATAAGTTATATTGAAACATAAAATTTAAAAACTATAATATAAGGACAATTATTTTTTACATACGCATGTATATTTCAAGTTTAAATTTGGACGAAATAACTAATTAAAACGATTCATAATATTGATATATTAATTATTTTAATAATTTTAAAACGTTCCAAACGTTTTTGGAAGTTAAACTGTTATATATTTTATATTATTATAAATTTTACTATATGCTATAGCATTTTTTGATTTATGTGAAATAAGTTGTTATAATAATTAATATGGTATACTTATATATTACCTATACCTATACCCTAACCTAACCTATATATTACTTACCTACTATGATATTTAAATACTAATAATATTTATAAATTTAATGTTTTTGTAAAAAATTTAATTGACCAATAATTACACTAATAGTAAAATAAAAATCGCTTTTATAACAATATCGAAAAACATACTATAAAATGTACTTAGCGATATAGGCTGCAAGCAAGCCGCCCCCATTCAGAATTGTTTTTCGAATTTTCGTAAACAATGATATATTATCATTAAATTTAAATTTAACATACTTATAAAAATAAAAGTAACCCATACTCGATACCTAATCCACTTACCTACCTTTTTAGATACATGAATTATTTATGAAGAATATTATAATAATTTTTTTATTCTTAAAGCTGCAAAAATTGAACATTTTATGTATTTTCCTTCGTCATTTTGATTAATTTTATAAATGTTTAAACTTCAAATGTATTCAGCAAATTATTGTAAATATATATTTTCAAAATTTTTTAATTATTATGAAAACAGCTTATGTGGTATCTATTGTAATCAATTTTCAAGAATTTTGATTAAACGAATAATTTTTTATCGTAATTTAAAGAAAAAAAACTAAGATAATTTAATTTTTAAAGTTTATAAATAACTCAAAAATATTCAATATATTTAAAAAATTATGATACATGTAAGCTTGTAAGTTGTAAGAAATGGTAATACATACAATATATTTGGTAAAAATTTGAAGTATCTACGAGTACCTATTTGTTTTTTAATTACAACAACAGACAAAAGTCGTTTGAAGAAATAGCTAAAGGAATGAACTTTTGATTAGTATGTCATATATATTTTATTTTTATTGAATCAATTTTGTCAAGTATTATTTTTACATAAAAATTCGCGTAATTCTTGATTTTTTTTTTTCAATTATTCCCGGTTATTTTGAAAAGTACTTGGAATTTTTTGAAATCTGATTCCCTATAATGAACTAACTAGATCCAATTTGTCACCTTAGGTCACCTCTAAAATTAAAATATCGAATCATATTTACTGCCCCAAAGCCAAATGGTAATGACGAATACAAAAAATAAATTAATTTTAAAATTAATACATTCGCCGCTATACTCAAAATTTAAAATAGAAATACAATAGAAATAAGAATGAAAGTGTATGATATTTTTAACAAAGCAAATTAATTTTAATTTTTCAATTCATAGTAAATAATGACAAATGTTATCAAGGTCAAGGAACTGTTCCTTTGGTTCTATAACGATGTAATCCATGTATATAAAATGAGATATATCGTGAATTCAATTTATCATAATACGAACAATATTTCAATAATACAACAATAATATTATAAAGTATTATTTGAACTATAAATTATAATATAATGAGTAGGAGGGTCTACGGCAACATATACAATTTACAAAGTTGAATAACACTGTAATATATTTTATGTATTGCTGTATATTGGTATAGTACTATTTATTTAATTTATTAAATATTCAATTATATTTAATAGTTATCTTAAGGAAACAATATACGTATATAATATAAATTTCAGTAAATTATATTTGTAGTGCAAACAAATAGGTAACGATTGATATGTTCATTTTAAACAAATCTGTTAAAACTATAAAATAGTTAATAATAGTTCTAGAATGTTTTTCCTTCCTCTATCAAACAAAAAAAGAAACAAAAAACAATTATTTTAGAGTATTTGAAAGTCTAAAAATTGTTTAAAAAAATTTCAAACAAGTAAATAAAAAATAGTTTGATTAAAATGAAGAATGAATTTGATGAAATATCTGAAAGTAGTCTAGATTAATTATCAGAAAGTTTATGGATATTAAAGGATCAGTCAGAGTTAATTTAAGGACATTTTTAAAGTAGTTAAGTTGAAATAACCCAGAAATCCAGAATATAGAATTAGTTAAAATTTGTTGTAAGCTTGTAACTAGATGTTCACTGGTTTCGATGAAATATGTTTTGAACTATCAAACTCAAGAAAAATTTTTGATTAATAAACTATAAGTTGTTCTAGTCTTAGATGAAATATTCCTCAGAGAAACCTTTGGAGTTAATACTAGGTCGTTGACATAGGTACCTACTTAGGATTAAAGGATTTTACTGAAGGCTATATGAGTCAAGAGATTATGAGAATGTAAAAAATTATTCATATTCTTTTGATTTAAAGTCTAGTCGTCTAGCTAATAATCTTTATCAATCAGCCTATAGTAGTATTTACATTGAAGGAACTTGCATATACTGCAATCAAAAGTAATAAATATAAAATAAGTATAAATCTTGTTGAATAATATTGTTATTCAATATTCATGAGTCATGACAAATTCGTATTAGGAAATTACTTATTGGGGTAAAATATTGTGGAATATTTTTTAAAACTAAAAAACTGGGATATTAAGCAACGGTGGATTTAGCAATTAAATTGGCCCTTGAGTGGAATAAACTATTGAACTCTAAATAAATAGAATAATATATTTTTTGATTTTAAAATAATTCTTACATTTTTAAATTTGTAGAAAACTGATAACACCATTTGTTAAATAATTATAACAGTTGTATAGTGTCTTCTAACAACAAAAGTACTTTTAACTTTGTAAGGGGTACCTAAACATTCACTTCTTAACTATTGTCTTAATATAATATAATAATTATCGCCGATAATTGTTTTTGGAATAAAATTTGTCGTTGATCGTTATATTACTATGATCTTTGACGTACCTATATAATTCATGATTCATAAGTGTGTATGTTTAAAAATGCATTCGATAATATTGTACCGCAAACAGCGACGGCGATTCTAGACAGCACAAAAATCTATAGATTTTATGATTAGAACAAGTAGAACACCGCTCATTTGAACGCATATAAACATACTGCACAAATAAATACGTCTGTACAGTAAATCAATATAATTTAAAAAGTACAAAAATTACCATTATTATTTTTGACAATATTTTTATTTGAAATGTAAAAATAAAGTTCTATAACATTACATGTATATTTGAATACGTGTAAATTTAAATTAAATCCAATTTTAAGCTAGATTATAAAACTGGAGGTCTTTGCTCTTTAGCCCATTCAGTCACGTTTAAATCCGACCCTGATACAAATGATGGTGCCTCAGAATTTCAGCAAATAGATCAATATAAAATATACTAGAAATAAACGGTAAAAAAGAAAATTTTAAAAAATTTTTCTTAATCATTTTTGACAGTGATTACCTACTGAAGTTATATTTTTGTGTGTTTGACACGCCAAAACGCTATATCTTTACATAATTACACAAGTCAATAAGAAATAAATATTACAAAAATAAATTGTGAGATCTATTTGAGATGTTGAAAAGTTATCCGTAATATTATAAATTTATTATTATTTTATGTTATTTATTTATTAATTTTCGTATCTATTAACTATTACGTATTATGTATTTTTATTATTATTATTATTATTATTATTATTTTAATGCTGAAACCTGAAATGTTAAAAATATTATGATTATGAATAAATATTAAATAATGAATTCATGATTTATTATATTTATAGCTAATAGTTATTAGTTCTAAATAGGTACTAGATAGCGCAAGTTGGCAGACAATTGTTGATTGCATTTTGAAGTCCATAATATTAATACATTAAGAACACATTGATGTTATTAAACTTTTGTATAATAATAAATTAATAAGTATTACGGATAATACATTTTATATTTATTATATATTATTATTACGTCCAACTGTGTAACATCGCAGACGTTTAATAAAAAGTAAAAATTATAAAATCAACAATTTACAATAATAAAATTGTGTTTTATAATATTATGTCTGCGGAGTTATAATATATCGGTCCGTGATTACAATATAATATTATTAT